CAAGTTTCCACTGCTTGATTTTAATATATTTTTATTATTGTATTGTCCGATATTTTTATTAATGCTATATATTTTTATTTATTTATTTATGTTATTTTTAATTTTATTATTTGTAAATCGGCACGCTGCGAATTTAAAATGAAAAAGAACCTATGTAATATTTTTTAATTAAATTTAAATTAAATTTGTTTTTATTTATATTTAATTTATTTAATTTTTATTATCTATTTATCAATATAATTGTTTTACGTATGTATTTTATAAATACGTGTTTCACTGACAAGTTATTAAATATGTTCTCGACAATAGGCCAAAATGGAACTCTGTATGCAGATCGTTAAGGATGAATTTCGGAAGGGCGAAAGAAACGTGAACGGGTGCACAGAGCATTCATAACTCAAAATCAAAATTGATTATTCCGTGAAATGTGACGAAGTAATAGCAGTTCGATCGTTATTAGATCTTCTGCAAAAAAATAAGAGGCTGATGCAACACGTGCGCAACATTTCTTAGGACTCTTAATAGGTTATCGAGTATCGCTAAGTCGCTAAGTGGTTAACGAAACCTCCGAAGTCCATCGTTAACATAACGACAATTTTCGGAACTTAACGACTCAATTTAAGGAGAAATATCGATAACTGCTCGATACAGAATCACTCGTAATTACTCGTAACGAAAGTTATCGATAAGTACAGTTAACGATAGCGATAATCGTCGATAGGAAGACAGAGAATCCCGCTACAGAGTAACTCGGTAAACGTCGGTATTATCTTTTAACGACAATTTTCGGTATCATTATCGTGTTCGTTAAGAAATAACAATATAAGCGATTCTATAAATGAAAATTAACGTAATTTGTCGATAATATGTCGTTAATAGGGATCGGTAAATTGCTAGCGATTCGTTAATTTATCGAGGGGTACGAGACCCCTCGATAGAATTATAACGACAACGCTATCATTCATCGAGCAAATTATTCTGACATTATTTACGGAATTTACGGCCTCAAAGAATTAAACTTCAACTAAATTGTGAAATTAAATTCAACTAAATTGTGAAAGTAAGTAACGATAAAAAACTCATTGAATAGTATACAGGATATATGCGCGTGTACACTACCCAGACAGCACACTATATTTATAAAATATGTACAAAATATTTGTAAGATTTATTTTAATATTTTATAAATATTTTTGTGGTCTTAGATTTCACAGATCATAAAAATTATTATAAATATTATGAAATATTTCATAGTATAAATACTATGAAAATACTTAATGAAACATTATAATCCAAGTAAAAAATACTTATTAGAAATATATATTTTTATTTATCATAAATATTACATAAAATATTTAGTCTTTATTTTAATAATATTTCGAATAAAGCTTTATATAAAAATGTATGAAATATATATATAACATTTCAAAAAAATGAATATTAATAAATATTTATCATTAGTACTCATAAATATTCTGTGCTGTCTGGGTATATAGTTAGAGGTTATACGCGTGAATAATACATTATTGCTCTGAATGAGAAACGTTTTGCAAGTGAGAAATAATTTTTTTTTATTTAATATTAAGATATTCGTGCTGTTTTAGTATCATGGCTGCAGCATTCTTCGCATGAGAGCTGTTACTGCTTGAGCAGAGAGTCTGGCAAATAGAAAGAAGATTAGAGCGCCGATTACTTCGTGACCATGCAAATCCTTTGGCATTACCTCAAAACGAATTTATGGATATTTTTCGGCTCAGTCCTGACCTAGCACTCTACCTTATTAACGAATTGCGTCATGATTTGCAACCCCAAAGAATTAGCGGTCTTGCTCCAGAACTACAGGTTTTAACTGTTCTTCAATTCTATGGTCAAGGCTGCTATCAGAGATCAGTAGGAAATCAATTCCAACATAATATGAGTCAAACCTCAGTCAGTCGATGCATCCGCGCAGTTACAAATGCCATCAATCAACGACTCTTGCATCGTTGGATTAAATTTCCTATGACTCAGGAAGAGAGAGCTGCAGCTCGCAATAAATTCCGAATGCTCCTCAGCCATTCCCAGGGGCGATTGGCGCAATAGACTGTACATTTATAAATATACTAGGCCCTGTAGAACATGAAGAGGCTTATGTTAACCATCACGGTAATCATACTCTTAATGTTCAAGCAATCGTTGATCCTGATTTCCTCATACTGAGTATTAATGCAAGATTCCCAGATGCTAGAAATGATTCTTATATTTGGAACAATTCACCTATTCGAAGGGCAATGGAATATTGTTATAATCGAGGTGAGCGCCAAACTTGGCTTATAGGAGACGCCGGATATCCATTGGAACCATGGTTAATGACTCCATTAGCTGATTATCCAATAGGTACGAGACAGTTTGAATATACAATGCAGCTCTGTTCATCTTGTAACTGTGTCGAACGTTTCAATGGAGTTTTCAAGTCTTTGTGGAGATGTTGTTCCTATCAAAGAGTTTTGATGTATGAACCAGAACTTGCTGATAGAATTATCAACGCATGTGCTATTCTCCATAACATGCGAATTCATGCGCGTCTTCCTGTGGATCAATTTCTAAATGATCAAGACGCAGGTCTTCCTGAAGACCCTGTATACATACATCACGAGGAGGACAACGAACCGGTGAGGAACCTAGCGCTGGCACGAAGAATACAGAAGCAAATTATGGCAGATAGATTCCCCGATTTACCTGATGGCGATGACCTTTGACTTCTGTTATTATTAATAATTGGAATACAAATTAAATGACTTGTGACATATTTTGTGAGAAAATAGAATTTATTTTCTATTTTTAAACTATAAAAAAAGAAATATCATTTGTTGACTTTCAAACATTTTTTCACATTTGTTGATTTTTTACATATATGCTGTATATGTATAAATAAAAATAAAGCGTTTTACATTCCATATTGCATCTTCTTCATCTCTGTTTAACTTTGTTTCTGTTTAACAATTAAATCTAAAGTATTTACAAGACGAAGTAAAATTTCATTCCTTGCTTTGTCATTTTCTGCCATAGTGCGGAGAATTCAGTTTGTATACGATTATTTTCTGCTTGTATTAAGGCTGCCTCTGCCCGTAACTTTTCGGCCTGCGCTAGCACCTGTAGCAAATATCATATTACGATATTTGTTTCTTATTAATAATTTTACATTTTTCTAAATAAATTACTTTTTACCTCTGTCGCCTCGCATGTCTGCTCAGCGAGACTTGTAAATTCTGTTCGAGCTTCGTTAAGTTGAACTCCTAATCGTTCATGATGAACTCCTATCAAAAAGATATACATGTATGTAGTATTCAGGAAAAATATATATTTTCATTACTGACAAAACTGCGATAGCGTCGCATAACCTTTCCTTAAAAAATTTGCCTTTGAAGTAACTGGCATGCGTGATCGTTTCATTGAAGCAGAAGTATATGGAGTTTTATTTTTAGGAACAACTTCAGTAATTTGTTTTTCCAGTGCTAAATAGGCTGACTGATTAGAAGTTTATATCTCAGGAATGGCAGGATTCAAGATTTGGTCTGAGATTATCACCATATCCTCTTGAGTATTAGCATTCATAGTCATTGTAACTGATTGTGAGTCGATATAATAGGCAGTAATTCATCATTGATATCTACATAAATTGAAAATTTAAAATTTGTTTATGTAAGCATTTAGATTTATATCTGCTTACTTTCTTCTGCTGGCACAGTCACTGGTTGCACAGTTATCACCTGTGGGATAACTTCATCAATGTTAACATCTAATCCTTGCTCCAATTGCTCAAATACGTTTTCCTATTGAAAAAAAGACTGCTTACACATACATCGTCAAAAATCAATCTCTTAAAACTGTGAGCAGCCAACTTACAAACTCTTCTGGAATAGAATCCGGAACAGTCGCCAAGCTTTCAAAATATTCATGTCCAATTAAGTCAATAATTTTTTTGTCTCTTTCAGTAAGAACAATATCATTTGGCTTATTGCCAGTGGCAGCTCTATTTTTTTTTAAACTTGTTACTTTATTTGATACTTTTGTTTTAGTATCACGCCACGTCTAGAAAAAAATAATAAGCCCGGATCCTCATACGGGCAACAGCTCTTTGACACCGAACGCTGATTGGTGAAAAACGGATGATGAAAGTAAATTTTACCCCCACAACCGGCTTTTCACCAATCAGAGCTCTGTGTCAAAGCGCTGTTGCCCGTATGAGGATCCGAGCTAAATGTTGCCACAATTAAGTATCAGAAAAAAATAATATTAGAACTGCGGCGACATATAAACCTACAGTTTTCCATGAGTCAACACTTTTCTTCTTTCCATTTTTAAACATAGCATTTAATGTATTCGTGAGTTCCTCCCAGCTTCCTTGAAGCTCTTTTTTCCCTAGCATTCCTTTTAATTTGTTGTTTGCCACATGTGGATGCAAACAAAAATAATTTATCGTAACATCTATTTGCGCCTCTGAAGCACGGCCCTGTCGTGTCGCTGCTGTTTCTTTCCTTTGACATTCATAATCAAGACATTATATTTTAAAATGTATTTCATAATATGTATTTTATATATATAAAAACATGTTTTATACACAAATATTTATAATTTCAATCGAATTTCAATAACATAACATATCACATTTTCAACATATTATGTAACAAACCACGTACATACAATATACACAATATGTCATAATATTATATATAGATAGCTACGTGTTACATGTGATTTACCTCGTCGGTGTCATTGCGCGTGATATGCAATCTCTCTGTATATTCTTTAGAAAAGTATTCGTTTTACTTTCTCATACAAATTTCTTACCTACTCAGAAATTCGGATTGCCGCTTGTTAACCAGTCATCGACTATGTTTGGTTAATGTATACAACTCAACGTTGCTAAGAAAAATTCACATGAACGCTTCTCATTGGCTTTTTCACGTTTACCCTCGTAATATATAACGTCATATCCGTCGTTTCGTATCGATGTTTCGTTAGATCATTCTGTATCGATTTCTCTCGATATGATTCCTTTACAGAATCACTAGGTGTATCCAGAAGCACGACCGCTTATTGAGCGCTCATTGAGCTCTTGTATCTGTTTGGTCTATATTTTTCGATCTAATGGAATATGCCAATCAGATGCGCTCACCGAACGCTCAGTGAGCGATCATGCTTCTGGATGCACCCATTGTCTCGTTATTACTGTCTCGTTACATAGAGACTTTTTCGATACGTAACATGATATCGATAAATTTCGCTACAAATTACCGAGTTACAGAATCCAGCTACGGGGGCTCTATTCTTGAACAAATATCGCATTCGAAAATAGCAATTCCGTATACAATCGACCAATCAACAGTCGAGAAACTATCATTTTCATATGCGAAAATTATTCGTATGTGCTCAAAAATAGGGCCCCAGGGCGCGTTCACACTGGTTCATACCGTGACGGAAAAGCGGAAAGCGGAAAAGCAGCAGTCAATCAAAACTCTAGCCGGTAGTCTACAATTTCGGTTTTTTGTACTACTTAGGCCCTGCGCACAATGGTAAAGATGCAATCTACCCCGCTCACCTCAAAAATCGATGAAATTATACTCATTCAATGCGTTTTTGCATGAAATGAAAAAACGAAAAAGTGACAGAAATAAGCGCTGCTCTGCCCAGGGCCACTTTAACCAATGGGTTAACCCCGGATCTACAATAGGGTTTTAAGCCTTAAACCATAAGAAATGGGCGAATCACAGTCGCTTATTCTTCTCGGATTCGACTGTAATTGGTCAGTTTCTTACGGCATAAGGCATAAAACACTTAGGCCCGTATTCAGAACGCGCTTTTATCGATAAAAGCGCACTTTTATCTCTGAAATTCTATAATATGCGTGACGTAAAGTATGGTATGTTATCGTGCTAACATCGTTGTAAGCGCGTTCTGAATATGGGCCCTATTGTAGATCCGGACTAATGGCTACTGCACACTGGACGCGATGAGCGATGAACGACGAGCAATATCCAATAAAAACTTTGCTTTTTCTCACGTGACGACGCAAAGCAAACCTCTCATTGGATATCGCTCGTCGCTCATCGCTCATCGCGTCCAGTGTGCAGTAACCATAATGCGGGCTGCAGCCCTAGAGCGCAGCGCCCAATGGGGCGCCGCCCGCCGCCCGAGTGATGCGAGATGATACCGATTGATCGCGGCTCGATTGGACACCACCAATTACAGCGACCGGTGCTTAGGAGCTTTGTAGTCTCAAGCGCTGTGAGTGGCTCGTGTCCAATTGAGCTGTGTCCAACTGGGTGCCACCAGTTTATGTTACTCTTTTAGACTTTTGGATTCTGCATATTCTCACACGAAGAAGAAGTAAGACGCATATGGCACCAAAATTATCGTGTGTGAGGTTATATTTGAAGGATTATAAAATCGCGTGACTGTCTACAAAGCATCAACATGAAGTGCTGTGTGCCTGGGTGTGGGCAGATAAGTAAAAAGGTCCTTTCATTTCATAGGTAAAAATGGGTGGCACCCAGATGGACACGGCTCAATTGGACACGAGCCACTCACAGCGCTTGAGACAACAAAGCTCCTAAGCATCGGTCGCTGTGATTGGTGGTGTCCAATCGAGCCGTAGTCAATCGTGATCAACCCGGTAAAAATAATTGAAGTGACATTATTTTTGTTTATATACCATTCATGTCCATATAGATTTCCATACATCGATCGCAAAGCGCGCGCGAAAGCTTCTGATTCGCTCAAATACAACATCAAATCAAAATAGCGGCTGATCAATTGCAAACACGAATTTTCCTCAATGCTCATTCTAATAGCGTTTTCGGCCCGATCGGGTTTGCACCAACTTGGGTTGGATTAATCTTTCCTATTGGTTGACGTCACCCGCTCTACCAATAGGAGAACACAAAAGGCCATTAATCCAACCCAGGTTGGTGCAAACCTGGCCGGGCCGAAAACGCTATAATATATATATATATAGTTCAGTGAGAAAAACCCATCGAAAATCCGGCAGATGTGATTTTAGTGCTATCACGCCTTGCGGGAAAAATTAGGGTAATTATACAGAATACTTCCCCCACCTCCGATTTCGATAAAATTTGGCTCATTCGACGCGTTTTTACATGAAACGAAAGAATCTGGCAGAAATAAGTGTTGCTGTCCTGCGAACCGAGATATTTAGCGTTAAAGTTGACGACTATTCAGGTTAACAAATCTGTCATACCGACTACATATAGGCTGCGTTCGAAAATTGATTTGGTTGGTGTTGGGAAAGGAGATAAAGTTGGCAGTATTGGAAATTACCAACGCTGCGTTTCGTTTCTCCCGCTGGAACTGCTGGGAGACCAAAGTAATGGTGAACATAAAAATAGAGTGGCTGATTTATCAAATAATATTATCCACATGTATAAGTTTTTGAAAAATTTTAAAAATTTAAAAGATGTTTAACAAACATGAAATTTATACAATTTACAAGAAATCAGCCACTAATAATGAAATCGATTAATAACAGCATCAATTAATTAAACAATACAACAAAACTAAAACAAATATAAAAACACAATACCTCTCTGCTTAATCGCAAATTAAACACGTCCGAGAAAACGATTCTCTGAAGCACGTGGAAGCACAATACCTCTCTGCTTAATCGCAAATTAAACACGCCCAAGAAAACGATTCTCTGAAGCACGTGGAAGCACGAATTTAGGTTATGATTTTACTGAATCTTTTTACTAGAGAAAGAAAACGCTTCTCCCAGTAATACAATATGGCGGTTACTGGATACTATACTGGAAATCAGCAAATGGGAACACACTCTTTATCTCCTTTCCCAACACCAACCAAATCAATTTTCGAACGCAGCAAAAAATTTGAACGCGGTTAAACTGAGTTTAATTTGGACGCCCATTTTTGGCCGTTTAGCTACATTGAACGAAGCAAGAAGACTAGAACCCAGGAGAGTCAACTCGCGTGGTGGGGGTGAGTCAAAAAGCGTCACTCGCTGCTTACTCCCAACCCCTGTTGAGGACGATGCTCAGTAGCTCACTGCGCATCGTCCCCACCCTGTTGGGG